CCAACACAACATTGTGATACCAAGCAAGAGATATCAGCAGCTGCAAGGAAGACAGAATCTCACATGGTTATAAGATACCGGTACTAAAACTTTCTTTTGATGCTGGTAAAAGAAAATTGCATAAAACATTGCACATTAAACCACCGCATAAGAGAGAAGAAATTTTTCCTGCTTATACAATCTGATCAAATGGACCTAAAGAACACTACAATGAAAAATGTAAATTATTATGCAAATCAAAGAACAACGCAAACAGGTTCTAACATTTTTAGTTATCTGCTTTCCAAATGTATATGCGTGACGACGTGGTCGAATCAGGCGCTCGTCAATTTTTGGGCACGTGGCCACGTGGAGTTATTGGTATCATCTTAAAGGTTGATCAGTTGTCTTGTTATCGGTGAAAAAAATTCCCATCTACAATGAATAGAAGAAGAAGTCAAGACATTTAAGATTGAAGAAGGTGGGGTTGCCTAGTTTCAAAGGTAGAATTTACGAGAAAATGGCCATCAAAGTTAGGTAATTTCCATTGCTTGATAGTCCGTGGAAACTGAACACTTACATTTTTTGTGCCTTTCATCAACGTTTTTCAGTAAAATCTAACCAAAAATCTGTTTTTAATTGGACAACAATGGCGTTAAACTAAAAAACAAAAATTATTTTAAAATTGCCAAACTGGCAGAAAAATGCCAGTTTCTTCAATTTCGTTATTTCGATGAGCGCCTGATTTCACCACGCTGCTTCACATTTGTCAATAAAAGATTATGAAAATTTTCTTTTCTTTTCAAACTATTTACTTTCAACGCGAAGTTGTTGTTGGTGATTGTTCTTTCTTTTTCTTTCTTTTTTTTTTTTTTTGTGTGTGTGTGTGTGGGGGGGGGGGGGGGGGGGAGAGAGATTCTGTGATTGGAGACCCTAAAAAAACAATGAAACAGAATGATCCGTATCATAAACTGTTGGAGAACCTGTACATCAATTTCAAGTTCTTTTCATTATGATAATGAAAACAGAAAAGATCCTATCCTTTCTTAAGAATGATGAATTTTCCAAGTTGCAGGATAACATACTGTCTCTCAGGTCAGGTCATTTCTTTATTTAATTCTTCGAAGATGTGGATAACTAAAATCAAACATACAGAGCAAAAAAATACCATGCTGAAGTTGTGGTAGGGTCAACTAAACAATCCTCACATTGTACTTTGCTTATGCTATGTAGACATCTCACCATGTTCCTTTAGAAGCCAAGGAAGTCTTTGACATCATTACAGAAAAGATGCACTGAGGTTTAATGTACCTAAAAATGAACATTAGAATTTAGAACCCTTGCCATTTAATGGTTTATACATATATTGATAGCTCTTGTACAAATACAACAAGATAGTAAGCCTAGTGAGTGGAGACTAAAAAAGAGTATATTCATAGTCCCACCAAACAAACACATCACTCAAATGTAGAGTATATAAAACACTTTGAACAACATGAAAGACCTCAAACCATTTTTAACTCTTCCACATTTTCTTCTTGGACATTCTTTGTTTCCTACATTTATAATAATACTATTTTTACATGTTGTAAGCCTACAAACCAACTGAAATAATCATAGATCAAACAATCACACATGAAAGAATCAATAACAATTTTTCATGCATTGAAAAAAAAACCCAGCCACATGAAACCTTTAACTCACCGCCTAGCCATGCTGCATACGTTGCAGAAAAAGTTCTGCTGTTTCAACTGCCTTCTTTTGTTACAGCCCGTCATTCCTGCCCTTTTTTTCCTCACTTTATTACCACAGTTATGTATATTCCCGACTCTTATATGAGTCAGTAGTGTCAATGATTGTTTAAAATACAAATTTAAAAAGCAGGTGCACAAGAGATAACATCAATGTGACATATTACTGGTATGCTTATCGTGTATTACTTGAAATGCAATAATTAGAGCAAATAAATACTCAAAATCACACTGAGCAAGGCTCTGGATATTGATACAAGATACAATTACACCAAATACACTATACTCATTATACATCCTGAGACTACTAGACATGAAAGTAAGAGAAAAATGTAAGTGTATATGTTTTATGCCCCCATTGATACTATTCAGATCATTAAGGAGGCGGTCTGTTTCAACCCTGCCTTTAAGACTCAACTCAGGTAGAAAGGGATACATACAACATCCCCATAGAAAAGTTGAGAAACACTATTCAAAAAAATCTTCTTACACGGAAATTGGACTCACATCTCCAACGTTTATCTGCTAGGCACCTAACCACTACACTGCAGATGCTGGTATAAGAATAAATTATAAGAAAGACCATTGTTACATTTTAGACTGCGTAAACCAACAACTTTTCACCAAAGAAGCTGTACATCATGAACTAAACCAGAATGTGACTATAGAAATTTCTTTAAAAAGTGAAGTTTTTGAGGTTGATATTCAATGCTGTGCGATATAAACATTTTCTGAACATACAAGCCTTTTTAACATTAGAGTGATAAATCTTTAAACACTACCAGTACCTGTATTGATTTCTGAAGTATCTCTGTTTTCAGAAATTTCTTTAACCCATTCCTTTAACAGGTTGGGAGATAAAGATTTCAATTGTTTCTGTTGCATATTAAATGTTACTCTTTACACTACAGAAACACACAAAAAAAGAGAAAGGGTGAGACATGAAAAATCCTGGGTCTTTAGATACTACAAAGGCTATATATAACATTGTTTCTGTGTAGCTAAAAAAAAATTGAGCATTACTACTACATTACTAAACACTACCAGTACCTGTATTGATTTCTGAAGTATCTCTGTTTTCAGAAATTTCTTTAACCCATTCCTTTAACAGGTTGGGAGATAAAGATTTCAATTGTTTCTGTTGCATATTAAATGTTACTCTTTACACTACAGAAACACAAAAAAAAGAGAAAGGGTGAGACATGAAAAATCCTGGGTCTTTAGATACTACGAAGGCTATATATAACATTGTTTCTGTGTAACTAAAAAAAAATTGAGCATTACTACTACAAACACACACAACAGCAGCTAAGCAGAATCTGAAAGTCTCTCATTCTTTCAGTGAAATATTTTCTCACACCGACCTGCTGAAGGAGCAAGAGTTGTACTTTGAAATTACATATTTCCTGTCAATGAGGCAGCAAAAGAAAACCAACAATTCACATCAAATCAATGTTATCCATTTCGAGAATGTTGTTGCTCCTTAAGCTTTTGTACAAAAAGGTTTGCATACAGTAACTTTGCATATTCATCAGGTTTCATGAACCCTTCTAAGTTCTCACTAAAACGTACACAAAACATAAATATATCAAAATATAGTGCGCATGTGTGGAGAAATCCATTAAGCATTAGTATAAGTAAATCATATACATTCTGTTTTATACAAAACCATCACCATCACCATCTGCAGTAAATTAGAATCTAAAGCAAGCCTCAGATTCAAAAGACTCCATCTACAAGAATAATGCTTTATAAATGGAAACTTTTTTACTCTGACTATGAAAATAACATCAAGGCACTCATAAAAAGTATGCCGGCTGGGGTTTTTTTCTTCTTTATCTTTGCGAACTACCGAGGCCGGTCACGGCGAATTCAAGCTATCCGTGTTATACTGTATATTGTTCACACGTGAAATGCAACTTGGACATGATTAACAATCTAAATCAAAACTTTACCAAATACATCGGTTGAGAATCTTACGCCCTGAATATTTCCTTGAGTAAACATTCGCATTGTTTCATTTTGTTGCATCTACGCATGAATTAGAAGATCAGCACTATCTACTATGACTACACTGTATGTTACACAGTAATCTCAAAGACAGTGAATTATTCCACACATTACTTCATTTTCAACAGTTTTGAGCTATGAAACAGGCCAACACTTTTATCCTCAAAGGGATCTCACCTTGTAGCCACTTCTAGACCTTCAGAAAAACCGAAAATGGCCACACGAAAGCATCCCAATGCAGAAACATACTATTTCAATTCATTGTATAAATTAGCTGGGTTTAACATCTGTTGGTTCAATCTTTGATTATGCTCTATCAATCAAATGCATGGTCACCCTTAAGAATATCTTTTTGCATTGAATAGAAGAAAACATATACACAGTCTCTAACAGTAAAATAAACACAGCAAAAACACTTTTCGTCTGACTAATGCATAATCTGTACAGAGTATGAACTTAACTTCATTTTATTGCAGGACTGAGATCATTAAAGCAGAATAAGAGTAGAACAGTAAGAAGCACACATTAATTAATTTTTAGGTTTAACAGTACACTGTGAAGTTGCTGAACAATACTTTGTTTCTCAACAGCAGAGAAAACCTCAGCAAGAAACCTACGATTCACAGTAAACATATTTACTAAATTCTAACCGTGTATAATCAGTTTTCAATAACACCATACCATCTGGCCTTGACGTATTAGTGAGAAATTAAGATGAAAATTTTTTCTGAGAAACTACTATATCCGTGTCAAGACAGGATGGAATCAGGCGCGCCTGACTGCACTCACACAGGTTTTAGGCATGTGGAGTTATTGGTACCATCATCAAGAATGTTCATTTGTTTTGCTTTTCATGAAAAAAAAATGCCCACCTGACTTGAAAAGACATTGAGACATTTGCATTTGAGGGAGGTGGGAGTCACCTGATGTCAGAAGTAAATTAGTGAGAAAATGGCTGCCAAAGTTTGGTGACTTCCAAAGCTTGAGTGTCCTTGAAAACTGTAAAATTACATTTGTTTGTGCCTTTGATCATTGATTTTTAATTTTTAGCAAATTCTGCACACAGAAACGTGTTTTTAAATGGACATAAAAGGTGCTGAGTCTCCCACCTCCAAAAATAGGCCCATCGTGTGGAAAAATGTCAGTTTCTTCAATTTCATTATTTTGACAAGCTCTTGATTTCACCTCAATGTTACACATATCCGTTGAACTGCATTGTCCTTGAGAAAAATGACAAACCTAGATTAAAGGCGTTTTCAATTCATGGCGTAAAATTTCTGCAATAAATGACATACATCTGGAGGAAAACAACATACATTAGGCTTAACTAAATGTATTTCCAATTCTTGATACAAAATTTCAGCAATAGGTATCCTGGATATAGAGCATACTAGGTTACAAAGTACATTTCTATAGGTTCCAAAAGTCTCAGGGCACTGTCCTCTAAGCACTAAGGTTGCAACAAATTACAGCTTTTTTTCAGAAGAAGACGAGGCATTATAGTGAATCTTCACTTCAGGGTGTTTCACTTATATCACATTTGTACACCAATCTAATGAAGTTACATAGTAAAAAGAACAAAAAACAAAAAAAACCTGCAATTGTAAAAGTAACTTCAAAAGAGCATGTAAAGACAACACGTACAAGACTAAAAATGTACACGTCTCAACAATTATAATTAAAAGCACATTTGGCAAAAGACAGATCAAATGCATCATTAATCTAAACAAAGTTAACATCACACAAGTATCACTCTTAAGGGTAATTCAGCTGATAAGGGATAGGTTCCTGCTCCGGTATGGATGTGTTTTCGTAGTACTCAAGACATCCGTACCACTTAATCTCACCATCTTTACTCACAAAGCAGTGAATCATCAGTTCATCCAGGGGGTCCAGGAAAGACTCCACAACCAGGGAGTCGCCCCACACACTCGGCGAAAAATGGACCATGGACACGCGTCGAATGTAGAAGTCATGCATTGAATTTGCCAGAGCAGGAAAGAAGTTGCGATAAGCTGCAATGCTTATGTTGTCTATGAGGTATCTCACATAAGATGGGTGCCTGGTCCGTCCGCTCGTGTCTGTATCCCTCAACGGAACTACGACATGATGAGAAAACGTTTTCCCGAGGCAGTCTGGCGGCATGACAGGTCTGTAATTATCCGGCATTTCCGGAAGAAGTCGCAAAAACTTGAGTCTCCACCAGTCAGGGATTTTCTCGGCTAGACCAGATTCCCTATGTACGAGGGAGTTGCAGGACTTGACCATGATGGAAGCCCGATGGCGACCCCCAAATGTTGCGCTGCTCCGAATTGTGTACATTGTCTCCATCATGCCAGTCAGCTTCAGGGAGACCTGCATCAGTCCAAAATATTATCTAGCTGTGAGTTACTTTAGTTTCATATTTTTTCAATCTGAACCAAAGTAAATCACTGTTCAAATCATGGGCCCCTCATTCTGTATGAATTTTCTAGGTTCAGGAATCTTTGAGAAAATCAAAACTGATGGAACCAATAGTCAATGAAATCTTTATAATACTCTCTTCAGGAAGAGACAACTATACGTTTTTTTAAATATAAAACTGGATGCTTCTGAAGGAATATTTTTTAACTGTCAAAGAATGTACGGCTAAAAAAAAGACGTTTCTTTCCAGCAACATTTATATTATTATAAATATACTCTTTCCAAAATTTAAAAAAACCCAAACAAAAAAAAATAGAATTGGGTAAGCTGTTTTTGTGTTAATCAGATGATATTTAAATTGCAAATCAATTTATGGAAGACTCCCTACGTCTTAACATACTGTTGTTAGTTAGACAGTCTTTACGCTTAGAAACTACAGTGATTAAAAGATTCTCTCTAAAATGTCATTCTCGTCAAGTCCTATCAACATTCAAAAACTGTCAGGGGGAGCCAGTATTACATTTTGCAACGCTTACCAGCAATGCAAAACAAGTGCTGGGGTAGGGTTCTAAAATCTCTCTCAAATACAAAATTTCTTCAGCTCTATGGAAAACAAAGCTATTTTCAGTCGTAAGTCCATACCTGAATGGGAGACTTCGGTGTGGTTGTCTCGTAGAAATGTCTCCGAATTTCCATGACAACACCCTTGGCATAACTGGCAATACCCTTCCGATTCAAGTTTTGGTAGTCAAGGAAAGCAAGTGACTTGTCATACAGAGATGCATGCTCCACTCGCCCAATTATGTTCAATAATCTGTGCAAGTCAGGCTGACCTATAGAAAGAAAAACAGTTTAAATGTAAACATGACACCTCAATGTTGTCCCATTTCCTAAACTTGCGAAAAAAAAAGATATGATCACACAACTATTAACTAGAAGAAAGAAGGAAATAAACTGTGAGCAAAAAAATGAAAGTCTAGACCATTCTATAATAATCCGAAATTTCTGGAAAGGAGACACTCCTAAGATCCCAGCCTAGGGTCACTTCACCTCCAACATCAAAGAAATAAATGAAAAGAAATGGAAAATACAAACCAACACAAATAGTGGAAAATGAAGTAATCAGGAATACATCAATCTGAAAAGACACAAAATGACATAACACAAAATGGAGGCAACAGAATTGATAGACAAAAAATAGTGGTCCTTTCAAATAACTATCACACCCTGATACATACTCAATATGCTTAGGGCAGGGGTTACCAAACTATGGCCTGTTGGCCAGATCCAGCCCAAGAGGTCAGGTTATCTGGCGCACCGCCATGCCAATATTGGGGAAAAAATAAAGATTTGTTTGTAGCGAGCTCAGGACTTGATCACCAAAAAATTTCATGATTTTATTATATTCTACAGGCGAATTAAACATAGTATTTCAAAACTTGTTTTACTCTAGCTACAGTGGAACTTGGATTCAACGAGCTCGGATTCAACGAGATGAGATAGATTCCCCGTTTTTTTCCTTCTTTAAAATCAATAAAAATAACCCTGATTCAACGAGCACTTAAATCAGCAAGCTCGGATTCAACGAGGTCGCTCCCAGGGTGAACAGCCCCCGTAGATATGGCTTCGTTCATTTTTCTCCCAGAACGAACTTTATCAATTCCCAGAAACCATCCATTGCACCTGCATCGTGAACCACTATTCACTTAGCCGATTGCATGCAACCAATCAGCGGCCTTTTTTCATACCAACACATGCGTTGTTGGCACGCGCATGTGTGTTCTCTGGCGTGTGTCGGGGTCGGATGGGCGGCCAGCATACGTGTGACTGTGTGTGCGTGTCGGGGAGGGGGGGCACTAGTGGTCCGGGCGTTGAACGTAACATATACAAACAAGTCAGTCTTTTTCCCCCTTGGCAACTGATCATTATCACAATGGTAAACTAGTCTTGACGTAGATCTACGTAATAAATTGTGCGCTGATCTATGGAATCAAAAGTTACCCTGTGCTAGGCTCTACACAGCAACACAACTTTGTGATAAACAATCGAGATGACACAGGCATGTGCATTTGAACGAAACGGTCTTTTTTTTCACAGCTCAAAATAGGCAGGCATTTCAGGCACTACTTGTGACTTCTCTTTATACATTACTGGCTCAGTGCTTGTAATTATCTACACAAAACTTTGTGTCTGCTCTAACGAACACTAGGATTCAACGAGGTTTTAGGTCAGGCCCGGCGACCTCGTTGAATTCTAATTCTACTGTACTGTTTTCTCCTTAACATATAAAACCTATTGTATTTAACAAAACAGTTTTCCATCCCATGCTCAGCATTCTCTCGAGTTATCCAGCCCACTTTGATATAAAGTTTGATGACCCCTGGCTTGGATCATGATCACATGATGTCAATCATGCCACACAGGGAATTATACTTATTTAGAATTTTAGAGTTAGAATACAGAAGTCTCCACCTAAGATCCCAGTGCTCGGGAGCTAGGAAAATGCGGGGTCTTAGGCGAACGAGGATCTTAGCCGAACGGCCAGGGGAAAGATTCCTGAGTAACTCATGGTCAGGCCCAAAATTTGTACAACGATCTCCCCTTACTTTAAAAAGAACTGACGTGAATCCTGGGCACTAAAAGTTCTATTCAGAAGTCAGTTTTCCTTTTTTTTGTTCAGGGGAAGGGGGAGGGAGTAGCTTTTTAAAAGATACAGTGTCTTGTGAGAACCAACTGGCTTCAGGCAATGCCCCCATTAAAAAATTAATTGCTTTCCATCTCTAACGGAGTTCCCCGCCCATGTCATGATGCATCATAATTCGATGTACTGTGACAACACAGAAAATTCTTTTTTTTAATGAATGAAAGACAGGTTCACTGCTAACAAATGTCATGACCACATTAGACAAAGGCAATTGGACAGTCCACGAGTATGAGTGCAGTCTGTAATCTGTCTGGAAAGTTTAAGTGCAAAACTGAAAGACGAGAGCGATGGTCAGGGAAACGTATATGTCCACGAGTTCACAGTTTGATGGAATGCAGTTTGATGCTTGCTGGTAGGCCCTCCCCACCTAGTGTGTGATGTGAGATCAGGCGGGCGGCTCAGGTGATCAGGGAAAGCAATGAATTGACAAGTTCATACCTTGGTGCGATACCATCTGGGACAAACATTGTAACAGCTTATCAAGATTTACAACACAACAGAGGAGTGATCGCATTCATGAGAGTGGATGATCCGTGACATGACAGACTGTCAAGGATCGCACATTTTTACTACTTGGTCGATCAGCTGAGCATGCCCAGGTTTCTTATCTTATTCTGTTTCTTCTCAAAAAAAGAAAAAAAACAATTAAATTATGACCAGAAAGGCGGGATCTTGGCCGAATATAGCTCCTTCAGTGCAGGTCAGAGTGGGATCTTAGGGGTGACTTTTATATAGTAAAAATTCTGTTTTCCAAAACAGCGGGATCTTAGGAGAACCGGGACCATAAGCTGTGGGATCTTAGGCAGAGACTACTATATTAACAACCCTTGTTCAATCACTTCCTTTCTCATAATAAACAGAAGTGAATGACTAGCAATCGGCATACATTCAACAAAGTAAGTTACATCAGATTTCATAGTCCTTGGTCTAAACTGAATTCTTAGATTTTGCCCCCCCCCCCCAAGTTCACATGGCATGTAGTCTTCACTAAAGCCCAGAGTCAACGAGACTTTAAATAAAAATTACTTAAATAAATAACAACACAAATATAAAACAAAACAAAAAATGAGCAGGCAAAGAACAACTAACCTGTGTGATTGATATCATCATACCGAAGTCCTGGTAATAGAGCTAGGGCCTTGTGCTGTTCTTTGTGAACTTCTATTCTCAAGTTCAGAGACGGGTAACATCTGAATATATGAAAAGCAAAATCTACATTGTGATTTAATACAGCTAAAACTGACCTAAATCTCAAATTAAATGTAGCATTTGCTGGGACCAATGTAGCATTTGCTGGGACCAATGTAGCATTTGCTTGGACCCGTTTCATAACATTGTAATTTATATATAACAAAAATAGTCTTCAAAGTTAAAATTACAGTTATTCCTTTTGAACCTACTCTGAGTTTACAGGACCTCTATGTATTCGAGCTCCTCTGCATACACCACTTAACAATGAGGTGATTGCATTTGTGCACAGAAGGGTAAAGGCAATCACGCCCATGCATACACGTGGGTCTATCCAGTTAAGATTTCCAAAATTGGCTCTTCTTGCAGGTAAAACAAAACCAAAGGCTTTCTACCCCAAGGTCAAAAATACACAGATTCCCCGTTCAATGCTCTCTCCGCACTCAATCTTTCCCCAAAGCAGACCTGCTACTCCATGAAATCTAAAAATCAAGACATCAGGGGGGAGGGGTGGTGGGGGATCGGGATTTGGTGAAAAAAAATGGGATCAACGACAAATCACCAAGGTGACAGCCAAGCTAACTTTAAAATTTCCCAGAGATATGTCCATAAATATTCCATATAGGCCCTTGTGTGTGTGTGTGCGTCTGTGTGTGTGTGTGTGTGGGGGGGGGAGGGGGGGGTTTGTGTGTATGTGTGTGCATGTTGCCATTATTTTTTGTAAATCATGAAGTATTACGTCAAGCACCCCTAGTCCAAGTGCTTAACACCCCCCACCCCAAGAAGTCCTGAAAGACACTTCGACCAGTGTGCATGAACTTAAGTTGACCCCGTTGATGGACGATCTCCGACACACGTAAAACTCACACACCGAAGTCACAAGATGCGAACTCGCAATTGAAACAGTCTTACTGACGGACTAACCAGAACTAGGACAAAGCTTGCTTTGAAAGTAACAGCAGACCTATGAATAATAATATTGATCATTTGTATGCTGCAATTGAAACAGTTTTATTCAGTGATCAAGCCATCTCATAGGAAAATTCTAAGTGGTAACAAAAGCAAAAGTAGATCCTGAGATTGTCCCAAGTCGGAATGCCAAATCGATACTACTTCCATTACGGTTGAAATAACACTACAGGCAAAGATACAGCATATCTTAAGGGTGAGTCAGCACAAAATCCGATATCAATATTTCGGCAAACAGTGCTCCGAGTTCCTGCTGACAAAAGGTTTACGAGTACTTCCCCAGGTAGAGAAGAAGGCAGAGTAAGTTTTTAGAAACATCCAGGGCAACAGACGGCACTTAAAAATCGAGATACACGAGATCGAACTCGGGAAAATCGGGATGCTTGAGGTTTGAGGCAAAAAATCGGGATATCCCGATTTAAGCGGGATGAGTGGCAGGTCTGTGGGTGTCATTTTTCGGACTAGCTGACCTTGCATTCCGACCATGAGATTGTGCATTTTTATCCATTTGCCATTTAACTTTTACATTGAATATATCGTCTTTGCATTCCTAAAAAATATGCAGTGACTACGTTCACGGCGCCCTGAATGTAGTTTGCAATTTAAGAATGATCTTGCTCACTTCACTCCCCTACCCTTTTCCCTCTTCTTTTTTTCATCCCCTCCCACCCCTCTTCCCGCCTTGGCCTTCTTCCATTCTACCTTGTTTCTTCGAACGACTTTTATTATCAAATTGTCCAGCATTGCCGGGCACCAGGAAGTGTTCTGTGTGTAGGCATCTCCAGGGTAGGCCTAAGCCTTGGCCTAGCAGCTGTGACGTCAGATGCACACAAAGCAGCTGGTGACCTTGATACATGACTTCAGATTCAAAATTGACAATGAAAAATGAAGTTTGCTTAAATTTAAACAGGGCATCAAATCAGGTTCCACGTGAGCCACTTTATATATTTTGATACGCTGATTCCGAAAATGAAATCAGTTTTTAGTGGCGATAATAATTTAAAAAATTGTGCATGCAGAGTCTTATCCCGCACGGTGGCAAACTTCAAAAGTATTTTGCGTCACAGTTCGCCTCTCCAATTCTGACGTGTGTGTGTGTGTGTGGGGGGGAAAGGGGGGGGGGAGAGAGATTCTGTGATTGGAGACCCTAAAAAAACAATGAAACAGAATGATCCGTATCATAAACTGTTGGAGAACCTGTACATCAATTTCAAGTTCTTTTCATTATGATAATGAAAACAGAAAAGATCCTATCCTTTCTTAAGAATGATGAATTTTCCAAGTTGCAGGATAACATACTGTCTCTCAGGTCAGGTCATTTCTTTATTTAATTCTTCGAAGATGTGGATAACTAAAATCAAACATACAGAGCAAAAAAAAACCATGCTGAAGTTGTGGTAGGGTCAACTAAACAATCCTCACATTGTACTTTGCTTATGCTATGTAGACATCTCACCATGTTCCTTTAGACGCCAAGGAAGTCTGTGACATCATTACCGTAGATATGCGCTGGGGTTTAATGTACCTAAAAATGAGCAGTAAAATTTAGAACCCTTGCCATTTAATGGTTTATACATATATTGATAGCTCTTGTACAAATACAACAAGATAGTAAGCCTAGTGAGTGGAGACTAAAAAAGAGTATATTCATAGTCCCACCAAACAAACACATCACTCAAATGTAGAGTATATAAAACACTTTGAACAACATGAAAGACCTCAAACCATTTTTAACTCTTCCACATTTTCTTCTTGGACATTCTTTGTTTCCTACATTTATAATAATACTATTTTTACATGTTGTAAGCCTACAAACCAACTGAAATAATCATAGATCAAACAATCACACATGAAAGAATCAATAACAATTTTTCATGCATTGAAAAAAAAACCCAGCCACATGAAACCTTTAACTCACCGCCTAGCCATGCTGCATACGTTGCAGAAAAAGTTCTGCTGTTTCAACTGCCTTCTTTTGTTACAGCCCGTCATTCCTGCCCTTTTTTTCCTCACTTTATTACCACAGTTATGTATATTCCCGACTCTTATATGAGTCAGTAGTGTCAATGATTGTTTAAAATACAAATTTAAAAAGCAGGTGCACAAGAGATAACATCAATGTGACATATTACTGGTATGCTTATCGTGTATTACTTGAAATGCAATAATTAGAGCAAATAAATACTCAAAATCACACTGAGCAAGGCTCTGGATATTGATACAAGATACAATTACACCAAATACACTATACTCATTATACATCCTGAGACTACTAGACATGAAAGTAAGAGAAAAATGTAAGTGTATATGTTTTATGCCCCCATTGATACTATTCAGATCATTAAGGAGGCGGTCTGTTTCAACCCTGCCTTTAAGACTCAACTCAGGTAGAAAGGGATACATACAACATCCCCATAGAAAAGTTGAGAAACACTATTCAAAAAAATCTTCTTACACGGAAATTGGACTCACATCTCCAACGTTTATCTGCTAGGCACCTAACCACTACACTGCAGATGCTGGTATAAGAATAAATTATAAGAAAGACCATTGTTACATTTTAGACTGCGTAAACCAACAACTTTTCCCCAAAGCAGCTGTACTCCATGAACTAAACCAGAATGTGACTATAGAAATTTCTTTAAAAAGTGAAGTTTTTGAGGTTGATATTCAATGCTGTGCGATATAAACATTTTCTGAACATACAAGCCTTTTTAACATTAGAGTGATAAATCTTTAAACACTACCAGTACCTGTATTGATTTCTGAAGTATCTCTGTTTTCAGAAATTTCTTTAACCCATTCCTTTAACAGGTTGGGAGATAAAGATTTCAATTGTTTCTGTTGCATATTAAATGTTACTCTTTACACTACAGAAACACACAAAAAAAGAGAAAGGGTGAGTCAGCAAAAATCCTGGGTCTTTAGATACTACAAAGGCTAT